GTCTCTACACTGACCATCTTCTGCCTTACCTGAACAGCTGTGATTGAATGAAGGCCTTGCATTATAAAAAGACACAACCAAACCAATATGACAGCCCGGGTTACACCCTCTAGAGTGGGCTCGCCAACTATCAAGTCCCCACTCTATGTTAATTAGTGCCACAGTGACAACAAGCCAACCTAAGATATAAGACCAATTATATCCTAACGTTACCTGATGAACGTCGCAAAGGTCTAATGTTACACTGTGAGCCACTGTGATGGACAGATGCTGGTGGATAATAGGCCTCTGGTTCTGGGTCTACTTCTGGGTCTACCTCTGGTTCTAGGTCAACATCCACTGCATGGCTGACTGTGGGTGCATCCCTCCGTGACGGTCCCGCTGCATCTTCCAAAAGCTGAAGCAAACAACAGTCAAAATGCATCCTTGAACAAACAGACTAATGCTATTTTACTGCATTTTTAAAACAGGAACCGAATAATGTGAAACGTCTCGGTTACGGATGTAACCCTCGTTCCCTGAGTAGGGAACGGAGACGTTACGTCAGAAGTGACGGAGAATGGGGGTTTCGCATGAAAGCCAATCCTCTTCGAGTATTTAACAACGAGCCAATGGCATAAAAAAAAGCCTTGGGGCTGCGGAATTTGCATAGCGTATCTCCGCCCCACGCAGTGGGTATAACAGGAGGAAGTGAACGCAACCGCAGTATGTCTTCGCTGAGGAGCCAAGACTAAACTCTGGCATCTACCCAGCGATACAGCTGAAGTGGCAGGGAGACGTAACGTCTCCGTTCCCTACTCAGGGAACAAGGGTTACATCCGTAACCGAGACGTTCCCTTTCGTAGTCACTTCGAGTTACGTCAGAAGTGACGGAGAATGGGGGTCAGTGCCATCACGCCATCTTCAAGCTGTCTTCCAGTGCCCTGCGAAAGTCTGGACCCCTGAGCCTTACCTTTTTTTTTTTTTTTCAGGGATCCCACTTTGACACAGGATTACCAAGGTACACTGGGAAACATATCCCGGGAGGGACATGCTACCAGATGCCTACCGAAGGAGGACTTACAAATACACATATGGCCGCATAGGAACGCATATGGAGATCACTGGAGCACCAACCGCAGGTGGCTCCTAGAATTTAACTCCAGGGGTGGCAGATGGCTTGCCAAGGGAAGACACATGCTCAGAGAGGCTTACAGTGGATAATACACATGAGACAGTTACCATAGGGAACCGTGCACATGGAGGCACCTAGCCGGCTTCAACGGAAGACACTGAGGAAATATCGCACTTATCCAATCCGAGGAGTGGAATGGCGAGCAAACGAAGACACCTAAGCGGGTCCAGTACTGGCGGAAGCGAGTACGTGAGAGGACACCGGCTCAATTCGCAGATTATAGAATCTGGCGAAGGTGTTTGGTGTCGCCCAGCCTGCAGCTCTGCAGATGTCTGTTAGCGAGGCGCCATGCGCTAGAGCCCAAGAGGAGGCCACACTCCGAGTGGAATGGGCCGTCACACCAAGGGGGCACGGACGGCCTTGCTGCTGGTAAGACAAAGCAATGGCGTCCACTATCCAGTGAGACAGCCGTTGCTTTGAGAGAGCCCTTCCCTTCTGGCTCCCCCCATGACAGACAAAGAGCTGGTCTGAGGTCCTGAAACACCGCGTTCTGTCAACGTAGGTGTGGAGAGCACGTACCGGACAGAGCAGTGCCAAGGCTGGGTCTTGCAAAGGTTGTCACGATTAATACCGTTCCAAATTATCCTAGATCCTACTTAGATCCTCGAGATAATCCCGCGGTAACTAAAGAGCCTATCCTTTAGTCGTGCCTTTAAGAGTTAGGTGATCAGTCTCTACAAATTCGTATTCTATTATACAGATAATAAATTATAAATATAATAGATTTCCCCTTTATAGTATAAGTCTACCTTTTTAGGTACTCTTGGACCGTGTCTGCTATACAACAATAACTCTGCTGTAAGCTGCCTCTTTGGCTAGGCTATTTAATCAATCAAGTCTCACAGTGAACATCATCACATCAAAAAAGAGTTCTCACCCTCCTGTAGATTCTTCTAGTTGGGATCCTTCTGATCCAAGGAGAAGAAAGCAAAAGTACTCAAGAATCCAAGGTCCAGTCGAGATTGATAATAATAAATGTTAACAGAATTTATTAAAAGAATCAAAATGAAAAGAACACTTGTTACAGATTCAAGGTTAAGTACTAATTCTAACAGAGTAATATTAGCTAAGCATATGGCTTCTTGCATTCGATAACTGCTGGTATATCGAACTGGAGGTAGCAAGGAAGAGCAACGTGTCTCATCCAGGTTTCTCTTTTATAGTATAAATCAAGCTGTCATCAGCATGGTTGATAAGATACACTCCACCAGACGCGTGACTGTCAGCTCCTCATCACGGGTTTGGCTTGCTGATCCCAGCAAACTCAGAAGATCCATTATATTTATGAACAAACATCATATTCAATACTTCATCACATGATAAAGGGGAACACCCAGATAGACAACATTCTATTCATTCAACATAATATTTTAGATAAGTGAGCAACAGGTTATTCATTAAGCATAGCATGCTAGATAGTTGTACCATTCACAAGTAGAGCTAGCTCATTAAACACAGACTTCTTATTGTGACCTTTTCTGCGCTTACGATGAGTTGAAGAGGTAACTGAGGCGAAGGTAATACCATCCTCAGGTGGACACTTGGTGCGAGGGTTCGGTACAGTCTGCCTCCTCCAGGGGCAGCGCTTGCAGGTTCACCACCTGGTCCCGGAAGGGAGTGGTGGGAACCTTGAGCACGTATCCAGGCCGGGGTCTCAGGATCACGTGAGAGTAAGCCGGCCCGAACTCCAGGCACGCTTCGTCAACGGAGAATGCGTGCAGGTCCCCCACCTTCTTGATGGAGGCCAGTGCAACCAGGAGTGCTGTCCACTGCATGAAAAGTGGGATTTTCGTCCCCGTAAACTGCCGGAAATCTCCCTAATTTTCGGCAGTTAACGACAATTTACAGACTGTGAACGTCGCGTTCCACTGTGCCACATATTGACGGAAACGAACCATGACGTATGCATGCAGCGCTCGCGGAGGTGCGAATGGCCCTAATTAGCATATGAATAGCAGCACTGCGCGCGCCTTGCCAGAGAATGGCTTGAATTTCCTCACTCAGTATTGGTTGAAATTCACTACATTTAAACAAGAAAATCACTCGTGATTGGTTGGCAGATCTGTTACTATTGGTCAGCCGACATAAAATTATAATAATAATAATCATATATATATATATATTCATATTCATATGATATGCTATTATGTTGTTTATTCATGTCATTGTTATCCTATGGACTAAATTATTATTACCATCAAGGACATGAATTTATTGAGGAAAGGAACATTTGCCACATACTGTTTATTCAAAGAAATAGCTTTATTAGAACAAACACAAAACTATGTACACAGCATAGGAGAACATCTTTCAAAGCACAGAAAACATGTCCTCCACCCTCTGGAAACATGGGACAACATACATACATACAGCACTACAGTTATACAAATAAATCAATAATATATTGCATCTCTATTCAAAAATAAATTGCCCTGAATGGCATCAGAATTGGGCACCAGATATATCAAACACAATGTACAGTGGAGCCAGAATTATGAACGAATAATAAGGATGTAATTTAAAGGTATGGTTCACTTTGAAATAAATTTATGATATGTTTTATCTTATCTCAAGGGCATCCAAGATGCAGGTGGTTTTGTTTCCACAGTATTTTCAATTTTGATATTTTTAGGTCAAACTGTTGTTGTCTGTCAGTCATATAATGCAGGTCTATGGTCACCACCTCAAAGAGCATGCACAAAGAAGACCAAATTAAACATGATTTAATGACTCATAAATTAAGTACACAATGATTGACTAAGACACGAAATGAGCGTTTTGGGAAAGAAAACAAACAGTATTTATATTGTATAAATGTGTGTGTGTGTGTGGTGTATATATATATATATATATATATTTAGATATACACAAAATGCAATACATCTTAATATGTTTAGATCTTCACAGTAAAACTTCCGAAATCTGTGTAAACAATGAGTGACGTACCAGTGCAAGATCGCTTCTGGCGGTTTCCACCGCATGCGCAGATCATATATATATATATATATATATACACACACACACACTGTTCATTTTCTCACACAAACCGCTCATCTCGTATCTTAAGCCATCAACGTGTACTTACAGTTATGATTCATTAAATCATGTTTAATTTGTACTTCTCTGTGCATGCTCTTTTAAGAGATCCCCATAGACTTCCATTATATGACTGACTGATGCCCTTGACGTAAGCCAAAACATTTCAAAAAATAATTTCAAAGTGAACTATCCCTTTAAAACTCTTAATTCAAGTCCTGTAGGCTTGGCTCATCAGGGCGAAGTGAATTTAAGTCTTTGCGACGCGTGCTTGAGGTTCACCTTTATGTACATACACCTCAGTGGCTGTGGAACCGAATTTCATGACCCTTCTGCAAAGTTGAAAAAGACAAATGATTTAGATGTATGCAAAGGCAATCTGCCCCAAGTCCCCACATTTGTAAGCAAAAATATGTTTCTTCTGCATCCACTACCTGGTTTCCTTCAGGCGATGGCGGATGTCGACCAGTAGTTTCAGGACCTTTTTCTGGAACACTGAAATAAACGAACACATTTGGTGATGTTTACAATACTCTAATTAGAATAACAAAGTTTGCTAGCTCACAAGAGAGAAGGTGTCTATTAAAAGTGTCTTCTCCACTGCAATAGATCAACACTTACCACCAGGTTTCAGTCACTGCCATCTCCCAGTCTCAGTCACTGCATCTATACCACAAAAAAATGTGTTTTAAAAGTTATTATCAAATGATGAAACTGAACAGATTTATAAGATATTTAAAAACTTGGTCAAACATTTATAATTAATATAACATGCCATGTTCCAGTTCTCTTGGCGTTTTCACCACTGTCTCACGCTCAAAGTCATCTATAAACACAGACGTTAATCCAAATTAGTTTAGTTTTACTTTTATTTGACTGGGTCTGTTCAAAAGAAAAGAGGATGAGATCACAACACGTAACGTTACCTTATTTAGGTGTTTTTTCTCCCATCAGCGAAGGACACCTCACTCCTAACAGCCCCTGAGAGACAAAACAAATCACAAACATCTGAAGATTTCACTCATCACACAAAGTGATGCAATTTTACAAACAAGGATAGCCTACACTAGAGCATACAAGCACATTACGCGCTTTGTTTTAGGACCCTGGCACTTATTATTTTTTCATAATTTCTGACGATATTCAGAGTAAATGAGTTAGTTTGATTACTATCAAAGAATGGTAGCTAACTTGCAGCCAGATAACAACGTGCAACCCAACGTACAGTTTAGTGTCCCAAATTTGTTCAAATTGAAATGAAACAAAAAAAGAATTAAGAGCAGCAAGCTAACGCAAAACAAAAAACTGTTCCGTTAGGTTAACACCCTTGGACATTCGCGGCAGTAATCACAGCAGATTTGTGAAGTTTAAGACAAAACGCTAAACTACCAAAAACTATAAGTAGACATGGACATAGAATTCACTAAGCTGGACGAACTTACCTTCAATTTAGAGGAAAAGATGGGTTCCCAGCGATCATGACGGCGAAGCAGGCTGAATATCTGTGTAGTTACTTTCTGCTTAAAAAAACACGCCACATGCCTGGCACGTTGCCTCAGCCAATCAGAGTGGCTGACGTTACAGTTGGATTATGACGATATGCTGCCTCAGCCAATCAGAGTTACGTTCACTGGTTTTTGACTCAGGTTGAAAGGCTGTCGTCGGCTGTCCTTGACTTTTCTGCTGCTGTTAGTTCATTTTAAATTAGGAATAAGGTGGATATACCTAAATAGGCTACCATGAAATGTAAAATACATATATGCATAAATAAATAACTTTATTAGGTTACTTAAAATAAATAAACCAGTAAAAAAAATTGTAAAAAACAAAAACAAAAAACATCTGTTTATAACTGTGAATTAACATCAAAGATGTTATCATATATTTTGAAAACTGCTTCCGTAAATGTTATGATGAATCTTATAATTTTATTAGGAAAATTTCATATTCATAAGAGTAAAATAAATAATTCTAAACCTTGTTTGAAGTTTTTTTTTTTTTGGTCTAATTTTTAGTTTTCAGTATATTCTGTCTCTCAAATGTATCGATAAAAATGTAGTGATACAATTGTATTTGCTAAAGAATATTGAAGCTAATTGAAGCTAATTTTCTTTCTTTAAATAGTACAAATTACTGGTTTCTAACTTTCTCTTAAATCATAATATTATACACAATAGAGTCCCTTTCCTGTTTTTATTTCATTTGTTCAATTCTGTCCTATTTTTATTTGTTTCTTATTTATTGTGAAATTATTATTTGTTGATTGTTATCTTTTTGGATGTCATGTTATTGTTGTAATTGTTGTGCATTATGTGCAATGTTAAAAAAACAAAAAAAACACAGCAATTAGGTTATACTGAGCCTGATCTTGTCTTAGAATGAAGTTACCTTTCAGAAAAATGTTACCTGGGGTGAAACTCCCCTACCCTTATTTGCATGTGTATAGCTCACAGCATTTTCATTTACATGTCAAAGCCTCCTCTAGATTTAGGAGAAGGGGGGACAATGGGGGGACAACTGCCAAGCAAGGCCCACGTCAATTTCCGGCAATTCACAGCAGTTTTGAGTGTTACCTGTAAATTGCCGTGTGCAGTCGTAAACCTGAACTTCCACGACAATCTACAGTGCCGCTTACTGACGAAAATCCCACTTTTCATGCAGTGGTCTTCATGGACAGAAACTTTAACTCTACCGATTGCAAAGGCTCAAAGGGAGGCCTCTGCAGAGCACTTAGAACTACTGAGAGGTCCCAAGAGGGTACGAGGGGAGGACGAGGCGGATGTAGCCTCCTCGCTCCCCTCAGGAACCTGATGACCAGGTCGTGCTTCCCTAAGGACTTACCTTCTACTGCTTCATGCGAGGCGGCAATGGCCGTGGCGTAAACCTTAAGGGTGGAGGGCGACAGCCTGCGCTCCAACCCTTCTTGCAGGAAGGAAAACACGACACCGATCGAACATCTCCGGGGGTCTTCTCCGCGAGAAGAGCACCAGCTGACGAAGAGGTTCCACTTCAACGCATAAAGGTGTCTCGTGGACGACGCTCTAGCGGAAGTGATGGTTGCCGCCACCACAGGTGGCAGCGAACTCAAACCTGCCTCAGAGTGTCCCGTCTCTGAGTGAGTAGATCTTGTCTCAAAGGAATAGGCCAAGGAGGTGCTGTCGCGAGGAGCATGAGTTCGGAGAACCACGTCTTGGTGGGCCAATAGGGGGCTACCAACAAGACCTGCTCCTCGTCCTCCTTGATCTTGCACAACACCCGTGCAAGAAGGCTCACTGGGGGAAACGCATACTTGCGTGGGCCCCGCGGCCAGCTCTGCGCCAGTGCATCTGTGCCGAGCGTACCCTCGGTCAGGGAATAAAACTGGGCGCAGTGGGATGAGTCCCGGGAGGCGAACAGATCTATCTGTGCCTCCCCGAACTGGTCCCAAATCAGCTGGACCGTCTGGGGATGGAGTCGCCATTCGCCGGAGATAGGGCGGACCCGTGACAGCTCGTCGGCTGCCAGGTTCCGGTCTCCTGGAATGTATACTGCACGAAGGGACCTCAGGTGCTTCTGACTCCATAACAAGAAGTGGCGGGTGAGCTGCGACAACCGGCGTGAGCGTAGACCACCCTGGTGGTTGATGTACGCTACTGCAGTGGTGTTGTCTGAGCGGACAAGTACATGTTGACCCCTGAGCAGCGCTCGAAAGCGGTGCAGGGCCAGGCGTACTGCCAGCAGCTCGAGGCAATTGATGTGCATGAGGCGCTGGGGTCCTGTCCAGGAACCCGCGGCTGCATGCCCATTGCACATGGCACCCCAACCCGTGGTAGATGCATCCGTGGAGACAACGAGATGCCTGGAAACTCGCTGGAGAGGGACACCGGTCCGTAAAAAGCTGAGGTTCGACCACGGGAAGAAGGTTCGGCGGCATGCTGGAGTCACTGGAACTCGGAGCGAGCCGCGATGCCATGCCCACCTCGGGACTCGATCGCGAAGCCACAGCTGAAGCTGTCTCATTTGAAGCAAACCGAGCGGCGTTGCCGTGGCTGCGGATGCCATATGCCCCAGGAGCCTCTGAAACAATTTCAGTGGAACCGCACTCTTTCCCTCGAACTGTCGAAGACAAGTCAGCAGTGAGTGCGCGCGCTCGCTCGTGAGCTGCGCGGACATGGCGACCGAGTCTATCTCCATGCCGAGAAAAGAGATCCTCTGCACGGGGCAAAGTTTGCTCTTTTCCCGGTTGACCCGAAGGCCCAGACGGGCTAGGTGCCGGAGCACCAGGTCTCTGTGTTCGCAAACCTGTTCTCGAGAGTGTGCCAGTATCAGCCAGTCATCGAGATAGTTCAGGATGCAAACCCCATGTTCGCGAAGGGGAACAAGGGCTGCCTCAACGATTTTCGTGAAGACGCGAGGGGACAGAGCTAACCCGAATGGGAGAACCGTGTACTGATATGCCTGGCCCTCGAAAGCAAACCGAAGAAACGGTCTGTGTCGAGGCAAAATGGAGACATGAAAGTACGCGTCCTTCAGGTCGATTGCTGCAAACCAATCCTGAGGCCGAACGCATTCGAAAATGCGTTTGGCTGTGAGCATTTTGAACGATAGTCGATGAAGAGTACGGTTCAAAATGCGCAGATCCAGGATCGGTCGTAACCCACCGGTCTTCTTGGGGACAATGAAGTAGAGGCTGTAAAACCCGGACCTCATCTCGGCTGGAGGGACCATCTCGATTGCACCCTTTGCCAGCAGGGTCGCAATCTCCGCTCTCATGACCGGGGCATTGCCACCGACCATCGTGGAGCGAACTCCCCTGAAACGAGGAGGAGACCGTGCGAACTGAATCGCATAGCCGAATTTGATCGTTCTGATGACCCAGCGGGACAGCCCAGGAAGCTCTAGCCAAGCTTCCAGGAAGTGTACCAGCGGGGTCATGTGAACCACAGACGTCCCCCCGGAGGGGCAGCGAGGCGGGTCGACTGGCATAGGCGCAGGAGTTACCCCGCCCGGATGCACAGTGAAAGCCCGCTCCCCAACAGAAGAGACCAGGGAAGGACCAGCGTTCCACGGGGGTCTGTTCTGCCGGGGGTCTGGCGATAGAGGGGGAGGGGAGTGGCGTAGTCGGGGGACGACACACGCTCCCTTCCGCACCCTCAGAGACAGAGAGGAATGAGTGGGCTGACGCACTGGGACGTCGAGCGCACTCATTCCAGTCTGTGTGCTCAGTGATGAATTCAAGTCTTTCTTTAACCAACTCAGGGTACTGCCCACCCGTGGGTAAGCAGCGGGGAGCTGAGAACAAAAGATTCTCCCCGGGCCCTCCACCGGGGGAAGGAGGGGGCCTGCTACCGCCTCCTGGGAAAAACTCGGCTTCATCACTGAGCAGCCCGTCTCAGGAACGTCGCTTTGCCTGGCGTTTAGCGGGGCGTGCGGCCTGAGGGGGCTGTGACGCCTGCCTGCGGCCTCCTCTGCGCCGCGGCCCGGGTGAAGGCTACAGCTGGGGCCGCGTGGGAGGGAGGGGAGCCGCAGGGGGGCGTCCTCGGCGGCGAGCAGAGGGAGGCGTCTGCACCGACGGCTGGGTGGAGGCAGCAGCTGGCCGTCGGGGCAGAATATGTTTGATCGCCTCCGTCTGCTTCTGGGCAGTCGAGAACTGTTGGGCAAAGTCCTCGACTGCACCGCCGAAAAGGCCAACCTGGGATAGCGGGGCGTCGAGCAGACGAGTCCGCTCGGCATCCCGTGTGTAAAGTAAGTAAACTTTTATTTATATAGCACTTTTCACAGACATGAAGGGTCACAAAGTGCTTTACATTAAAAAAAAAAAAAAAACAAATAATAAAAGAAATAAAAACCACAACACACATTACAACACCACCATATAGCTAGTTAAAAGCTTGTCTAAAAAGATGTGTTTTAAGGTGTTTACTAAAATTTTCTACAGTGTCCAAAGCTCTCAAGACTAATGGAAGAGAATTCCATAGCCTTGGAGCCACCACACAAAACGCACGATCGCCTCTTGTTTTAAAACGAGTTCTAGGAACAGTAAAAAGGTCTTGGCCTGAAGACCTCAAGGAGCGACCGGGAGAGTGAATGTGAAAAAGGTCCTGGATGTACGAAGGAGCTTGATGGTGGAGAGCTCTGTAGGTAATGGTTAAAATTTTAAACTGCACTCTAAAACTAATTGGGAGCCAGTGAAGAGCCTTAAGCACAGGAGTGATATGTGATCTCCTGTTTGTCTTTGACAACAGTCGTGCAGCAGCATTCTGCACAACTTGCAATTTTTCCATGGAGGATTTGTTTAAGCAAGTGTACAGTGCATTGCAGTAGTCCAGACGAGAGGAAATAAAAGCATGAACAAGCATCTCCAACTCTTCTTTAGAAACCACTGATCTAATCTTAGCGATGTTTCTGAGATGAAAAAAACAGGAACGAACCACAGATTTAACATGACTGCTAAAACTCATCGATTTATCAAAAAGTACACCTAAATTTCGTAGCACATCACCA